GTGTTCTTAAAGTGCACCTGTAAGTAAAAACAAGTTAGGAAATTCAGACCCCTGCAGACCTTTATAAGACCCCCAACAATGGGGTACAATGATATACAGTTAAGCCAGCCATAGATGGATTGAATCTCGGCCAATTTAGTAGGGACCGGCCTAGATTCAATCTATGTATGGGCAGACCGATTGTACCCAAGTTAATCAATAGATAATCATGTGATTTATTGCCAGCAGCTATAGCCACTAGTAATAATCACTATGTTCTCCTGGCAGGGACAGCTCCACTGTGCCCCCCTTCCTCTGGGAGAAACACAATAGCTCTGCAGGAGAGATTCCTCCATCAACACTGACTGTTTTGATGGGAGAATCAAGCGCATCATCTATGGCCTGCTTTTATGACTACACCCAGTAGCAAGGTGGTCAGTGAGCAATACTGGCAGGGTGGTCAGTGAGCAGTATCTAGTGGCAGGGTGCTCGGTGAGCAGTACCTAGTGGCAGGGTGCTCGGTGAGCAGTATTTAGTGGCAGGGTGCTCGGTGAGCAGTATTTAGTGGCAGGGTGCTCGGTGAGCAGTACCTAGTGGCAGGGTGCTCGGTGAGCAGTATTTAGTGGCAGGGTGCTCGGTGAGCAGTATTTAGTGGCAGGGTGCTCGGTGAGCAGTACCTAGTGCCAGGGTAGTCGGTGAGCAGTACCTAGTGGCAGGGTGCTCGGTGAGCAGTACCTTGTGGCAGGGTGCTCGGTGAGCAGTACCTAGTGGCAGGGTAGTCGGTGAGCAGTACCTAGTGGCAGGGTAGTCGGTGAGCAGTACCTAGTGGCAGGGTGCTCGGTGAGCAGTACCTAGTGGCAGGGTGCTCGGTGAGCAGTACCTAGTGGCAGGGTGCTCGGTGAGCAGTACCTAGTGGCAGGGTGCTCGGTGAGCAGTACCTAGTGGCAGGGTGCTCGGTGAGCAGTACCTAGTGGCAGGGTGCTCGGTGAGCAGTACCTAGTGGCAGGGTGCTCGGTGAGCAGTACCTAGTGGCAGGGTGCTGGGTCAGCAGTAACGGTGGCAGGGTGCTCGGTGAGCAGTACCTAGTGGCAGGGTGCTCGGTGAGCAGTACCTAGTGGCAGGGTGCTCGGTGAGCAGTACCTAGTGGCAGGGTGCTCGGTGAGCAGTACCTAGTGGTCTGTGAGCAGTATGTGGTGACAGGGCAGTTGGTGAGTAGTGTGTAGTGGCAGAGTAGTCCATGAGCAAAGAGACAGTTACTACAGGACTGGAGTTGGAAGACTAGCATCTCTGTTCCCCATTTTCAGCTGCTGAATCAGCCAGAGTGGCCATCTGCTCAAGGAGGGTCCCACCACCACATCCTGCAGGCCAAGGAAAAGCTGCTGAGCACCAGGGCAGGTTGGCCCCTTAATGCAATGCATGGGGCATAGGGGAAAGAAATCAAACCTTCTCTCTGGGGAGAGAACCACAGGCAACCCAATAGCCATCCCTCCACCATCAGACCTTTCACCATTTTTGTTACCCGTCTCTGGACTCGTTCTATCTTACCAATATCTTTTTATAAGTGAGGTCTCCAGAACTGAACACCGTATTCTAAATGAGATCTAACTAAAGATCTTTATAGGGGAATCAGGACCTCTGTCCTCCTGCTGGTGATTCCTCTAGTGATGCATCTTAGAATCTATTCACTTTCCCCACTGCCTGGCCACACGGTTTGCTCATTTTGCAATCATCTGAATAAGTACTCCCCAGATCCTATTCCTCTGTAGTGCTGGCCAACAATGTTCCCCCAATGTTGTACTCTCTCAAGGTATTCTTTTTCCCTAGGTGCATTATTTTACATTTAGAAGCATTGAATCTTTACAGGCAGTTTCCACATTTGCCTGTACAAAATGTGCAAGAACAGTATTGCTGGAACAAAGGGCAAGACTGTTATCTGTTAATTATAATCTTGGTGATGTCATGCATACTGCCTTAGCCAGGAAGGGTGAGAACTTGTGTCCACAATATGCACGCATGTCATAAAGATGATGGGCTAAGTGTTCCTGATTAGGGTTCTTTCCTAAAGTAAACCTGTAAGGGTGTTGCTATTGCTGACTTCATCTTTAAAGATGCAGTTTCCAGGGATGTCACCCTGACTTCACTACCTAGTGAGTCATGAAACAAACATATGATTTCAGATTTCACTTGCGGCATGCATGTATGGTCAAAGACTCACTTGGTTGGGATGATTTTTATGACCCGTCCAGAGCCTGCGTCTTTAAGTACTAAGCAACAATGGTAGCTCCCATTTTCTTTTCTCTTAGAATCACTTTAGAGTGCACAGGAGCACAATATGAAAACCAATGTATTATAACCTGAGGAGGACTCATCATAGATACATGAAAAACCTGAACCTTCAGGCCAGTGGTGTGAATTTTGACTTGCTTCTCTTCTATTTTGTTCCCTGGAGTAGTAAAATAAGTGCCTCTCTAGATAGTCAATCCAGCTCTGGTCACAATAGCGGAAGGTATGGTTGAACTGGGCCAGCAATGTGTATGAGAGCACAGCCTGATGTACCTACCTTGGTTCACCTTGAGGAAGGGGACAGTTTTCTTCTCTCTGATTCTATATGATGGTCACTCACAGTTCCCATTGCATGAATAGTATGCCTCATTGTATGAGTGTTTTGCTATATTCACAAACAAACCTTGGGCCCTTTTCACACCGGATGTGTCTATTCTGATTCTTTTTTTTTTTTTTGTTAATATCTTTTATTAAATTTTATTTCAATACAAGGTATATCAGTTTACAATTTATCATGACATAAACAATCCAACTAGACTTTTTTTAACCCTCAATCCATCCCTCCCACCCAATAGTTCCCCCGGTCCAGATAGTTCTTTCCATTTCTTTCTAAACCTGTCTACTAATCCCAGTAAAAACCCTATATTCTATCTTCTTATAAACACTTTCCAATTGTTTCAGTTTAACTCTCTAACTCTACCAACTTGGCACTAATTATTTTGAGATATATATTTCAGATGATTTAAAAACATACCACCTGCCCCATTCTTTCCTGAATTTTTCCATTCTATCTTCATCCATGTGGTATAACTCCTCCATCTTATGTATATATGCAATCCTCTCTGTCCAATCTCTCATTGTTGGGGGGGTCCCATACCTGCCAAACTTTGGGGATTAGGCCTTTTGCAGCACTAATTAAATTATATAATAGACTATTTTTATATTGTTTTACAGATATCTCTGTCCTATAAAATAGGCAGACCCACAAATCTATTTGAATAGATATCCCCAAAATCTCCTGTATATATTGAATTACTTCTTGACAAAGCCCCTGAATTTTTAAACATTCCTACCAAATGTGAGTCATAGTCCTTCTTTCCCCACAGCCCCTCCAACATAGTGGCAAAATGTCTTCTCTTTATGTGCAACACTCGGTGTACAATACCATCTAGTTAAACATTTGTAATTCATTTCTACTATGTTCATATTTAAAACCCCATGCATCAACTTAAACATTTTATTCTTCTGTTGTTCATTCATGTTTTGTACCCAATTCTCTTTCCCATCTTTCTAAGAACGGAGGTTCAGGCCCCGTCCATTCAATAAGGATCTTATATATTCTGGACGTTGTGTGTTTGTAGGCTGTCCTGTGACTCAATATTTTTTTCAAATGGAAACATGTCCTCCGGCATCCTCAGTGGTTGGGGGAGTGTTGAGACAAAATGTCCTAATTGATCATATCTAAATTCATCCAATGTGTAAAATAAATCTTTTTTACTCCTTAATTCCTGAAATGTACATAACTTGCCCTTATCTACTATATCCCTTATTCGTGCATTTCTATTTCTAAACCATTTCCTGGCAATATTATCATTCCCTGGTGGAAAAAAAACGTATCTACCAGGGGTATCAACAGTGAATTGTACTCCCAGCCCATTGATTTATGCAACCCATCTCATATTCTTAACACCTCTCCTGTCAGTGTACTGCTATTTTCATCTAATACTCGAAACATTCGTGGAATCCAAATCATCCTCTCCAACTGCACATTACTTAATATACCTTCCATTTTAACCCAACTTTTTTCATCTGAGTTATATGTCCAGTCTACCACATCTATTCTGATTCTGATCAGAGAGGATCCATGTTTGTTCAGTTTTTTCCCCAATGTTGTGATGAAGGTAAAAAGAATGTTTAATGGACCCATCTATGGGCAGGTGAATGTAAGCAAACATACATCCGTTTACATCCTTTTACCTCTGATCTGTCACGTTTTAGAATGCAAACCTTTTCTGTTTTTTTTTTTACTCTGACCTAGACAGGCTCAGAGGTAATTGTGTGTGAACTCCTGTTACATCTGCCTGCCTATATACTAACATTGAGCTTCCGTTCAGAAATGCTGACATGTTGAGCTCCAAATTAGTCTGTTATGCGGCCCATGTGGAGAATGACCTGGCATTCAGTCATTCAGAATCAGCTAAGGTCATTGTGCGCATGCTTCACTGCTGTGTGTTGCAGAAACTTTGCAGCAATTGCAACACAATGATATGATCAGAGCCTTATTTTTTACTGATCTAGAAGGTTGTACTATATTTTGTCCTCCAGTGGATTTACCCCCCTTCCTGACCAGGCCATTTTTTATGTTATGGTGCTGCGTTACTTTGACAATTGCACGGTCATGCAACGCTGCACACAAATGACATTTCTGTCCTTTTTTTTCCCACGAGCTTTCTTTCGGTGGTATTTGTTTTTTAATTTTTTGCGCTATAAAAAAAAAAGACTGTCAATTGTGAGAAAAAAAAAAACAATATTTTTGACTTTGCTATTAAACATGTCCAGTAAAAAATTTTTTTAAACATCACATTTTGTCATAAAAAATGTATTCTGCTACATGTTTTTGCTAAAAAAACAAAATCCCAATACATGTAAATTAATTGGTTTACAAATGGCGGTATAGATACTGGAACTTTTTTTTTTTTACAAGTAATGGCGGCGATCAACGACTTGTAGTGGGACTACGGGACTGCGGCGGGGCATTCTAACACTGGGGGAAACTGACTTGGTGTCACTGACATCCCCAGTGACACCAGTACACAGTGATCAGTGCTACTAAAAATCACTGACACTGTACTAATGGCATTGGGCAGGAAGGGGTTAACATCTGGGGCAATCAAAGGGTTAACTGTGTGTGTTTTACTGCTGTTTCACTATGCAGAGCCATACAAAGCAGTGTGCAGGAGCTGACGGGAGAGATCTGTATTGTTTTTACCCAGGTCACACCCCCCGTCAGAGATACTTGGTGATCACCAGGTGCTGACGAGTAATCATGGGCCAGAACCCAGTGATTGAAAGCTGAGAGGCCGCTAATTGCAGCCCCCTACCTGAAAATGCGAAATCATGTATAGATACGTGATTTTGCACACCTGTGCTGCCCTGTAGCAGTATTTCTGCTGTAGGGTGGTACGGAACCGGTTAAAGCTTCTGTATACATTAGTCATGATTTTCCTCAGTCTGTTTTCCATAAATCCACAGTACATGTTATTGTATTGTAACTTATTATTTATCCTCTAGCTCCGTACAATGGCCCTATACAACCCCTAATAATGGCTCTAAAAATCCTCTTCACATATATTCTGTTTCATGGCAGGTTAAATTACATTAGTTCACATACAGAATGCCAAATTGTTAAATGAATGAATTTCTAAAATAATGTCAGCTGTAGATGAGACAATCCACATTCTCCAACAGTCTAATCACAGTAAAACACACTGAGGGGAATTCAGTAAATCTGCTGAGCCACTTTTCTGGCTTTAAGTGCTCTTGTTAATGTGTTGCGCATAATTAAAAAAACATCCGCGACAGTCTTGGTTCTGACAGCGACTAAATTCAGGTAGTACAAATTTGCGCCACTTCTGCGTTGTGGCGCAACATCTGCACCAAACTCAAAATGAAATACTGACAATTTGTATTTTACAAAAGTGAAGCTAATTAAGACCAACTTTCTTTTGCATACAGAGACTGATTATGTGAAAGTGTCCTGCATACGTTCTAAAAGTGTCACAGCATGTGCCAAATTCAAGCACAAGTTCTAGGCAGTTACATGAATTTGGCTCATGCTGCGCCACTTTTAGAACTTTAGTCTTTATGTATTTCAGGGACTGTGTACACAATGGCTATGGCAGAAAAGTTGCTTAGAGATCAAAGACCCTAAATGCATAAGTAGGCACTGTAGATGTGAACACTAGAGGATTGATTTGCTGACAGATTTTTCAGGGTTTCCAGGGCTGAGATCTCAGCGCTTCCAATAGATGTTCTGTAATGTAAAGGGCTGAAGATATTAGGTGATTCAGATTCGCCGAAGTATCATTTTGGAGTTGTCTGCTTCTTTAAAGGCTTGTTTGCAGTAAATTCTAACTTTGTTTTAAAGAATACAATATTCACAGTTTACAATTCACAGCTTTTGGCTCCTTCTATAGTCAAGGGAGCAGTGAATAAGTGTTTGTTTTGGTCTGTTCACCATTTCACAGGCTGGGAGTTTGATTGCTTCCCCCTGCTCTCAGAAGAATTTTCCAGAGCATAGGAAGGGAGATTCAAATGACCAGCATGCATATTTATCATGGCCTAGCAAATCCCTGGAGAGGAACACCCAGAAGGTGGCTGAGGAAGTAATAAATAGTCTGAAGCCCTGCAGAGTTTTTTCTTTTCTTGGCAGGAAGGGTTTCAGAGCCTCTGGGGCTGTTGCCCCCTGGGGCAGCCTGTGGACCTTGTAGCTGTTCTCTGATGTCTCAGCTGTGGCAGAGCTGAGGACCTGAAGTGACTTTCAAGCTGGCTATACACTGAATGAAGTTCAATTGCTTCAGCAGGGACTGGACAAGTTTTGATCAGTGTGTGGTCATCCCTGCTTGACATGAGCTGGGACAGGGTGTTCAACTTTTCATTTTTTTCTGAAAAGGCAAACCAAGGCTGGCCATACACTATACAATTTTCTTACAGTTTTCTGTCCAATTTCTGCCCAATTTTCTTAGATTTACCTTCAACTATGTAGTGCAAGGGCCTGCCTAATTGGATACAATTGAAAGTGTTGTTTAGGTTTGACCTCATATTATATGATTTGTAGTAAATCTAAAGAAAAATTCTCAAGAAAAGTGTATGATGTATGGCCAGCCTTAGGCTGGCCATACATTATTCAATTTTCTTGCGAATTTTGGTTTTGAGTTACCAAAAACCATATAATATGAGGTCAAACCTAAACAACACTTTCAATTGTATACAATTAGGCAGGCCCACACACTTGGCCCTTCAACAGAAAATTGTAAGGCTGGCCATACACGATACAATTTTCTTAAAATTTTCTGTCCAATTTCTGCCCAATTTGTCTTAGATTTACCTTTAACTATGTAGTGCAATGGCCTGCCTAATTGTATACAATTGAAAGTGTCATTTAGGTTTGACCTCATATTATATGTTTTTTGGTGAATCTAAAGCAAAAATCTCAAAATTGTATAATGTATGGCCATCCTAAGACAATTGTATAGTGTATGGCCAGCCAAAGGCTGGCCATACATTATACAATTTTCTTCAGATTTACAAAAAAAAAACATATAATATATAACACTTTCAATTGTATCTAATTAGGCAGGCCCTTGCACTACATAGTTGAAGGTAAATCGAAAGGAAATTGGACAGAAAATTGTATAGTGTATGGCCAGTCTAACCCTTAGTAGTGGATGTGTCATTTTAACTCCCCAGCCCCCTCTTCATAACAGAAGAAAACCTAAAGTAAAAAGGGAAGCAACAATTTTTATTAACATTTGTGCTCTGTGGATACCAAAATGTATCAACTCTAATCCCAATTTGGCTTCAAAAGTGGAAATACTGTACAATTTAAGGAAAACATGGCAAAAACAACTAAAAGTCACTGAACTTTCCCTTTCATTGTGTGGGCTTCTGAGATATGTTCAATCTTCAGCTATGATTCTACTTTCCCTTGCAGCATCCCAGCAGGTTGTATGAGTTGGCACACATAACAGACATTCAAATCAGTTTATAGCTAGCTGAGGACAGGAGCACGCCAGCCAGGAAAATCCCAGCAACAAACAATATGTTAGGCTAGGTTCACACATATATGGGTGGGGGACATGTGCTAATCGCACGCATTCTCCAACCCGCAGGCAAAACATGCTGCTCTGTAGCAAATGCAAAACTGCATGGTGTCGCAGCATTGTGCATTTCTGTGTAGTCGTGTTTTGAAAAAAAAAAGGGTCAGGGTCTTTTTTCCCATAGGTACAGTAGCCTGTTCAAATCAATGGGCTACTGCGTCTGCGCAAACACAGCATGCAGGACCCACAAAAGTGTGAACCTAGCCTAATACCCCAACACCTATATCGGGGATGTAAAACTATTTCATTGTGGGCTGCATCAGCATTATGGTTGCCCTCAAATGGTTGGTTGTATCTGTAAGTCTAGATGTCTGGAGCACTCACCTCCCCCCCCCCCCCCCCCTTTACATCAGATGTCAAGAGCCCCCCACCATCAGAAATTGAGTCCCCCCATCTTCTTTACATCACAGTTTAGCCCTCTTACCTTGTGCTGCTGTAGCTGGGCTTGGAAGCAGAAAGTGCGGAGTCTGGAGGAGGACCAGAAGAGGGCTTCAGTCAACCCAGAGTTCTGTCCTCCTTTCTGCTACTAACTGCTGAGACAAGGGGGTGCAGAGATGATCTTCTCCATGGCTGCACAAAGAAGCACAGGATCTGGTGGAGGAGTTCTGTCCTCCTTTCTGCTGTCGGCGGAGACAAGGAGGTACAGAGATGAGCCTCTCTACGGCTGCACAAAGAAGCACAGGATCTGGCATAGGAGTTCTGTCCTCCTCTCTGCTGCCAACTGCTGAGACAAGGGGCTTCAAAGATAAGCCTCTCTGTGGCTGCAGAAGCACAGGATCTGGCAAAGGAGTTCTGTCCTGTCTGCTACTGAGGCAAGTTAGGGATGAGGAGATGGGGGGGGTGCCACAGCTGCAGGAGAGGTGTGAGTGTCACAAGAAATGGCCTTGGAGGCTGGATTTGGCCTGTGGGCCTTGTGTTTGACACATGTGCTCTACAGTCATGGCCGAAATTGTTGGCACCCTTGATATTTCTCCAGGAAATCATGTATTTCTCACGAAACGTATTGCATTAACACATGTTTTGCTATACACATGTTTATTCCCTTTGTGTGTATTGGGACAAAATAAAAAAAAGGGAGGAAAGAAAGCAAATTCGACATAATGTCACACAAACCTCCAAAAATGGGCTGGACAAAAGTATTGGCACCCTTTCACAACTGCGGATAAATAAGAATGTTACAAGCATGTGATGCTCCTGTAAACTCACCTGGGGCAAGTAACAGGTGTGGGCAATATAGAAATCACACCTGAAAGCAGATAAAAAGGAGAGACGTTCACTTAACCTTTGCATTGTGTGTCTGTCTGTGCCACACTAAGCATGGACAACAGAAAGAGGAGACGAGAACTGTCTGAGGACCTGAGAACCAAAATTGTGGCAAAATATCAACAATCTCAAGGTTACAAGTCCATCTCCAGAGAACTAGATTTGCCTTTGTCCACAGTGCGCAACATTATCAAGAAGTTTGCAACCCATGGCACTGTAGCTAATCTCCCTGGTCGTGGACGGATGAGGAAAATTGATGAAAGATTGCAACGCAGAATAGTCCGGATGGTGGATAAGCAGCCCCAAACATGTTCCAAAGACATTCAAGCTGTCCTGCAGGCTCAGGGAGCATCAGTGTCAGCGCGAACTATCCGTCGACATTTAAATGAAATGAAACGCTATGGCAGGAGACCCAGGAGGACCCCACTGCTGACACAGAGACATAAAAAAGCAAGACTACAGTTTGCCAAAATGTACTTGAGTAAGCCAAAAGCCTTCTGGGAAAACGTCTTGTGGACAGATGAGACCAAGATAGAGCTTTTCGGTAAAGCACATCATTCTACTGTTTACCGAAAACGGAATGAGGCCTACAAAGAACAAAACACAGTACCTACGGTAAAATATGGTGGAGGTTCAATGATGTTTTGGGGTTGTTTTGCTGCCTCTGGCACTGGGTGCCTTGACTGTGTGCAAGGCATCATGAAATCTGAGGATTACCAAAGGATTTTGGGTCGCACTGTAGGGCCCAGTGTCAGAAAGCTGGGGTTTGCGTCC